CACAGGGGGCAGCAGAGAGCCATTTGCCCCCTGTGTAAATATCACATTGTACATCGATTGCATCCTCGCCAGACTTGCACCTCAAGTTCATTCTTGGAAGGCAAGTTAGCAAGACTGGTCTTTGTGTTCTTGGTATTGAGATTCACCCCATGACCTAAAACACTGACCTTTAACTCAGGAAGCACAAAGGAGCACAGGACGCTACAGGGAGCCAGTGAGACCCGGCAAGCCAATTGGATTTGGGCTGGATTTTAGGGTGATTTATGCTCGCTCTGGTCTAACCTGAGATGCCCCCCGAGGCAAAATAAACTGACACAACTATGGGGAGATGCATTGTGGGAATTCACAAGAAGTGAGGTAAAGGCTGACATCTGGTCAGTGTGAACACACAGCAATATATGATGGTTCTGCTGGGCCCAGATTCTCACTCAATTTTATAGGTCCAATTCTTGGAGATGGAAAAAACACATGCAACTATGAAACAGTCAAAACACAGAGAAGGTTTATTGTATAAATCTGCATAAGTGCATTTTTCAGTTGGGTAATAAGGCAGAAATCAGAAATGTTTTTATCATATTCTGAGTTGATTGTTTTTACCAATGTAATATATACACATGACCACAAACACACATTTGTATTTATACCTGTGTGGGGACAGTCCATTCGTTTCTATGGGCCAAACCCTAATCCCAACAATGACAACCTTAACCCATACTCAGCCCTAACCTTAACCATAAGTAACCAAGCAAAATACAAGACTTTTGGCATTTTTAGTTTTTTGATTGCAGTCACAAATTGGTCCCCACAACATCAAAATAACAGGTTTTCATCACAGCATACTATATACATAAGCCCCCCCCCCCCCAAACATGAAGGGGAGGTGGGATTCAGACCCACTCAGCTTGTCACCAAGACAAGAAGTAGTATTTTAAGGCTGGGACAAATTTAGAAAAATCATAAGAAAATAATAATGATGATGATAACAAAAACAACATCATAATTTATTATATTATTATTATTAATAATATTAATTTTACCACCAGCAGTGGTTCTGACTAGGTAATCCACCCGAAGCTGAGTAGGTTTGGGCCTGGCCAGTACTTGGATGGAAGACCAACTAGGAAAGCTGGCTGCTGTTGGAAGAGGTGTGGGTGTGGAGAGCAAGTTAGTCAATCCTGTGGTATGTGTGGATCCACACAATCCCCCAGTGCAGTGATGGGGACACTGTTGAAAAAATGTTGCTGTTTTTCAGATGATATGTAAACCTAAAGTCCTCATTATCTGAGGTCATAGAAGATACTGGGGTATCCTTTGAGAGAGTAGGGGTGGTACCCCAATGCCCTTACTAAAATTGCCCACCTTGGCCCTTTCAAATCTGGTTTCCTAGTCATCCCCTATTTCTAATTGGTGAATTCTCTCCTGCCACTTAACCACTGTGCAGTAAGCGTACTGGTGCAGAATGGCTGCCATCACATCATCCAGGTGGGGGCTACACAGTGGTGGTAGTTCTACAAAGCACTTTGGGTGTCTTGGAAAGTGCTACATAAATGTAACATTAGTTTCCTCCATTCATGGTGCATTTCAGTATTTAATATATTTATATCTCATTTACCACTCACTTCTGCTTGGTCTTTCCCACATTGTCTGTACACAGCTGCTGACAGTCTGTGTTTACTTTATTAAATGACTCTCTCAACTATGGTAATAGGTACGCCATCCACCACAGCAGCCCGGACTTTAA